CAACAAAGATCAGTCTGGAAATGCAGCACTGACTCACCATTTGCGGATTCAACGTGGGCTCCAATCCTGGGTTGTTCTCACAGCGCCATCTTGAGTCCCCGCCTCTCTGCTTCAGGATATATTTTTTTATAACCAAGTAAAAATATAATTTTAATATTTTATATAAGAAAATAAATCTAGATGGTGTATGTACTTTATAAGAGAATAGAAAAGAACATTTCATATTTTTATAACAGAGTATTTTGAGTGTTTTTTGTATTATGTACAGCGTTTCACAAAGAAAGTATGCATATTTTTTATAACCGAGTAATAATAGAATTTTATTATTATATATAAGACAGTACATCTAGACAGTGTATATACTTTATAAAAGAGTATAAAAGAACATTGTATATTTTTTATAACAGTATTTTTAGCGTTTTTATATTACATATAGTGTTTCACAGATTATGTATATTTTTTATAACCGAGTAAAAATAGAATTTTGATATTTTTTATAAGACAGTACATCTAGATGGTGTATATACCTTATAAGAGAGTAGAAAAAACATTGTATATTTTTTATAACAGAGTACTTTGAGTGTTCTTTTTTTTTGGTTTTGTAGACTGGGGTACCAACAGATTATGTATATTTTTTATAACTAAATAAAAATAGAATTGTAGTATTTTTTATAAAACAGTACATCTAGACAGTGTATATACTTTACAAGAGAGTATAAAAGGACAGTATGCCAGGTCGCCTCTGCTTGCTCTAGGGGTTATAGCTTGCACACACCTTTTGGAGACCCTCATTTGACTACAGCGATGGAGTCAGAAACACAAAGTCCTGAGAGTAGATGTGAATTTTCTAAACATGGTTTTATAGCTGGCAGCCTAGGCTCCTTCGGCCATTGCACCCACCACCCACTGTGGCACAAAGTTGCTGCAGTCTGCTTGTGGAGAAAGGGGTCTTTGTTCAATGGAGGGCTGTGCGTGAGGGCTGGGAGGAAAAAGCTCAGCCCTGCCCGTGCCTCAGGGTGGCTCAGGCTCCAGTCTGTGCTTTCTAGTTTGTCATGGGCTCTCAACTGTACACATACTGTGCCCTGCTGGATGCCACCTTCGTAGACACCTTGTGAATTCCATGCACTGCTTCACCTGCCCCTTAGCATTGCCAAGCAGCTGTTAGACACCTGAGGTCTCTGTACTGTTAGCATCATGGGGCGGAAAAATATGGTACGTTTTCACTCACAAGGGTGACAGCCAACACTTCTGATAAAATGCAGATGAGTAAGGGGAAAAAACTCTCTTTTTTATTTTTCCAAGCGTGGGTAGGTTGAGCCTGCAGTGAGCTGAGATCACAACACTGCCCTGCAGCCTGGACAAAAGAGAGAGACCCTGTCTCCAAAAACAGAATAATAATTTTAAAAAGTAGCCTCAGGGGAAGGAGGCTAAGTTAGCTAAGGGATGTGCTCTGTGTAAGGTTTTTCTCTCTGCAGTCTTCTCAGATTTTGGGTACCTTGGACTGCTACCTGCTGACCATGAGGGCACACATTCGCTCAGCAGGGCTTTGCCATGAGAGATCCTGGCTTTTCTCAGGCAGTGGCTCTTCCCATGTGGGTCGCTATCTGAGAGCTCTGGCACCCTAATGTCAGGGAGTGGGCGCTGCTGTCAGGCATGCTGGCACTGTCTCCAGACTGCTGCTTCCCAGCTGTGTGGGCCCGTCTGCCAGTTTTCCGGTCTGATGAAGACAGAAACCTTCCCTTGAAAAGATTAATTTTAATGTATCTCTTTCTTCCAACATTAGAAACAAAACAGAAAGAACTGTCCTTTCTGCTCTCAAATTTTTAATTTTTCTAGTGTGCCTTTTTATTTATCTACTTTGATGTTTCTTTACTATGTAATTTACTAATTATACATATGATCTTTAAAATATATATATGGCTTTTAAAGTAAAAACAAAAAACAAAAAAACTCCCCCCAGTCCTGGCCAGGCTGGTCTTGAACTCCTGATCTTCAAGTGATCCATCGGCCTTGGCCTCCCAAAGTGCTGGGATTACGGGCATGAGTCATCACACCTGGTGCCATCTTGCTTTTAGACAGAGCCCTTGCCTGGCTGTGTGAATCATTCATGTCCCATGATGAGAAGAGCAAAGCATCTCTTCAGAGATAAATGGCTGGAGCTATACAATGATGTACTGTTGGCTCCTACTTTGCCAACACTAGGGCACACTGTGTCATGTGTATTCCCAAAGTAGAACCCTCACCTACCTCTGAATCCACTTCCATTGCCACTGGAGCAGGCAGGTGAAGGGGAGCCTTGGAGCCTGATGACAGGGGCAAAGGCACTCTTCTGTTTGACAGCAGGAAAAACTGAAAAGGAAAATGGATGGTGGAGGATGTACTGGAGGATCCAACAGTGGGACTCGACGACATGACTGAAAAGCAAACACACAATCCTCGTTTAGAAAGTAAGATCTTCCTTCAGTTCACACATTCACACACTTGGCATACATTTATTAAGAAATTGTTAATTTCCAGGCATTGTTCCAGATGGCAGGGATTAAAAAAAAGTTGAATGTGACAACATTTCTACCCTGTCCAGTGGGAGGAATAGACACATAAAACAACTGATATGGTAATGATCCTAGTAGAGGAAGGTACCCAATGCCCAGGAGATGCAGACAACAGAGGGCTCTTCCAATTGGGAGAATTAGGAAGGCATCTTCAGGAAGTGATGTTAGACCAGGTCTTCATTCATGAGTAGAAGCTTGACAAAAAAGAATGACATCAAACATGCCTGAAAAATCATCAAATCTACCCAGCAATGGAAATCAGCCTTACACCCTACAGAAAGTCCCATCTGGGAGCTAGGTGCCTCCTCCCAGGTATCTCCTAAGGCTCCAGGGCTTTGGTCTGTAGGGTTAACATCTTCTCAGAGTGCCATCTCTGTGGGCCACTTCCTCATTAAATGTAAAAGTTTATTAACATTCATAAGATTGCCTTCCTCTCCCATACTTTCAGTGCTCCTGGGAAGTATAACTGCAAGTCAGTCTCCCCTTACACAATGTTTAGAAAAAAAACCAATATTAATGACATTAACATTAAAATGACTTAAGGGAAAAAAATTAAAAAAGGACCTACCAACCCACGAATTGGCCCAGCCCACTAGTATACCGTGTCTGGCTCCTCCAATATCGCCGCTATGAAGAAAGTGGTTCGGCAGCCCTGGCTGGAGGCCGGGCTCAACCACGTAAAAGTTTCCCAGGCAACTACATAGTTGAAACATTTCTGTTTGCAGAATGCTCAACATGCTCCTCTGCTGACTGGAGTGTCTTCAAGTACAAATCCGTTCAGACCCCAGAAAGTCTGTTCCTTTTTCTAGTAAAATAAATCTTTCATAGGTTTCCCAAACCACTTCTTATGGTCCAGTGAATATTCAAAAGAGCACCATTTGAAGCCTGTACAAAAGCTTATCCCTGTAACACTTGTACCATAATATACAAACTTATATTTCTGTCAGTCCTTGATATCTACCTCTCTGAACTTTCATGAATTTCTATTTCACAAGGGTAATTGTTTTATGTACACTGGCAGCAGCACACAATAAAACTTAGTATTTAAAAAGGCCCCTTTTTAAGGTGATCTAAAATATTGTTTATTCACAACACATCCCTCTCAGGTACAAGTCTCTAAACCTGCAACAGTTCACTTGGCCGTATCAATCAGGCTCTGCAGAGAGGTGGGCACCCAGGTCTTCTCGCCTTGGACAAAGACCACTTTCTAGTAAATGTAGATCACAATGTGGCCAAAGGTGTAAAGCTGCTTCCCTTCATGTCCCTTCATGTCGCTTCCCAGTGATGGGCATGAAGACAATGTTGTACTCCTTGGCCTTAGTCTCAATGAGGTTCTTAAAGTTCATGGGCACAGAGCTGGTGGCCACATCAATGCCCTTCTGTGCCATGTTCTTGGCCTCCCACCTCTCCTGCATGGCCTCATACTGGAAGTCCTTCCTCTGCTCCATGTGGGTGAGATAAGCCATGTTCTCCCATGCTCCTGGCTGCATGTAGGCCCCAACATTAGAGGACACCCAATTCATGATATCAAGTGCTTTGTTAAACTTGTCCTTGACAGATGGATGTGCCAGCATTTAGTCTGAGAACATAGACTTCCACCCCAGGTACCACTTGGTGATCTCCTCATAATTTGGGCTGTTACTGAGCCAGGAGCACAGCACCTGCAGCCACTTGGGGAAGAAGTGCTTTTCAAGAAGTCCCACCAGGCTAGAGACAAAGATCATCCCTTCCCAGTCCATCACCCCGTAGAAAGCATCCAGGTGCTGCTGGTGGCTGATGACTAGCTCACCAAGACACATCCCCAGCTTGGGCACTATGTTCTTGACCATGAATGCTTCCCAGGAGCCAGGAAAGAAGACATCCTTCCAGGGCTGGAGGGCGAGCTTGGCAGAGGAGTCACTGGGGTGCCACTTCTGCAGGGTGCTGGACAGCTATGGATGGGGGAATATAGTGGCTCCAGCCATGCCTGCATGAGGGGCAGCCATGGGTGGATCTAAGAGTGGATGGGAACAGTGTCCGTGAGTGGGTTTCAGTTTTCCACCTCCTTCTACAGCTTGGGTAAGATGAGTTGGTCCAGTATGTTATCTAAGATCCACACAGGGATAATATGCACCCAACTATCCAGAAAGTCCACCATCAGGTCACAGTTTCTTGGCTGCCACTGGGTAACAATACTTTGAACAAAAGGCATCCAGATTTCCCATATCAATCTGTGAAAGGCATCTGCTCAGAGGTCCTGTCTGCCATGGGACAAGAGCTGGTCATTCTCTAGGAGGCTTTTCCATTTGGAGATGATCTCAGTGCCATATATGCAGTCTTTGAGGGGAACCGACTCCTTGAAGTACTCCTTCATGAGTGGATAGATAATAGCCATGGTGAGGTCCACATGGTCAGACATCCTGTATTCCTCATAGTGCTTGTCCTGCAGGGTTTCAAAGATGTGGGCACACTCGTCCAGTGTGATGGGATTGCTGCAGTCGGGCTGCATCTGCTGCTCACACTCCTCCACCGTCTCCAAGACCTTGCTGAGGTTGGAGATGACACGCTCCTCATGGTCCAGGACCTCGGTCATCTTCTCCAGCTCATGGAAGAGGTTGACCACCATGTCCTGCTCATACTGTAGCTGCCGGGCATTCTGGATGATCTCCTGCTAGGTGAGGTCGATGAGCAGCTGCAGGTCGTGCTCCAGCTCGGGCAACGCAAAGCCCTGGGCTTTGGCCTCCTTGCCAGACTGTGGCAGCTGTTGGGACTGCAGCCCATCATTGGGAACGTTGTGCTTGTGGCTGATCTGACTGTAGCTGTAATAGACCTTCTGCTCCTGCCTGTCATGTGTATAACCTTGACTTGAGAAAGCTCCTTCTGGGGAGCAGTGAGCTTCTTGCTAATCCTGCCCTTGGTCTTCAACTTTTCCACAGTCTTGTAAGAGTATTTGGGCTTCTTCTTGCTTCCACTTGGGTCATGCATGCCCTGCTCTGCCATGACCCCCTGCAGAAACCTCTACTTTGGAGCTCCTTCTTGCAGAAGTCTCTGCATAAAAGGAAAGGAGGCCAGGTGAGGTTCTCCAACGACCAGACCATCAAGCTGGAGAAGTTCGAGATGCAGAAATACCTCTCTCTGCCCGAGAGAAAGCATCTGGCCAAGATGCTGCAGCTTAGCAAGAGACAGGTCAAAACCTGGTTTAAGAATCGACATGCTAAATGGAGGAGACTAAAACAGGAGAACCCTCAAAGCAATAAAAAATGAAGAACTGGAAAGTTTGGACAATTCCTGTGACCAGAGGCAAGATTTGCCCAGTGAACAGAATAAATGTGCTTCTTTAGATAGCTCTCAGTGTTCGCCCTCCCCTGCCTCTTAGGAAGACCTTGATTCAGAGATTTCAGAGGATTCGGATCAGGAAGTGGACATTGAGGGTGATAAAGGATATTTTAATGATAGATGATGACCACTGGCATTGGCATGTTCAGAAAACTCGATTTAGGAATAATATTTGGATACAGAAAATCTTCATAGAAGAACTTGAAGGTTATATAAGAAAAGGAATCAATTTTCTCGTGTCCTGGAAACCTAAAATAATTGGTGCACTGCTCAGTTAACAAACCTACCTTAATTTTGACTTAACAAATATTTTATGTACTGAACTTAGGTTGTTTTGATAAAGTGACATAACAGTGATTCAATTCATCCCTGTTTTAAGAAAAAGTAAGTTATTTCTATTTATGAAAAAGTAATTTTGAACTTTCTCTTAAATTTTTAAGTTATAGCTTTAAAGGTTTTAATAGGACCTTCTTGAATGACTTTTCTGTATCTGTATATCTCCCACTTAATAGTAAGGCAAAAGGGTACCCCAAATCCAGAGGGGCCTATGTTTAGGCAGGCCTGGAATATTTTAAAAGAAAAACATTCTTTTATATGACGTTCTTTTACTGCTGTCTTAAATCCAAAGCCATTTCAGAGCTCTTGTCTAAAAGATGTATGTTCATTTTGTCAGTGATATAGTTGATAAGAATCTTAAATGCTTGTTTTGCACTATCACTTAATACCTATTTGACCAAGCTGTTAAGGGGATAGTAGCTTTTAATTCAAGCAGAGAAACTGACCTGACAAATTAATCGCAGATGAACTAGGAGTCACAGGTTAATTAAATGTAAGTAGATTGCAGATACTGTTTTATATCAAACTATGTTTATAATGTGTATATAGAATTGTTCACTGTAAAAAAAATTGCCAAAATGTGTTTTTTTAAGTAAGTAACTTGACTATATGATAAAGTCCAATGTGGGACGACTGACATCATCACGAGTTTTAATTCACTGATTAAAAAAAAGACCTCTCTACCAGAGCCCTCCAGACTCTACCCAGTCTCCGCTGCTGTTCCAGGGTAAAACACCTTTCTCTCAGAGCCAAGACCCCAGAGATGAGGATGTAGACGTATTTCCCTCCACTGCTGAAAACTCTCCCTTCAGTCGCGCATTCTCCAAAAGGTGCCCCATCAGCAGAATGTACACACGGAAGAAGCTCCTGGGACCCTGGCTGGAGGACTTATAGCTATAAATACTACTGAGCCCAAAAGGTAAAGGAGTTAGCTAGAATCCTGTGGGCATAAAGAAGCCTGGGGCCTGGCATGGCAAGCCTCTCTTGCCATAGTTAGCATTCAGACTGCCATTAGAATAGGTTTTCTAATTCTCTTCATGGATCCAGTCCATATTCTGGCCCTGTCCCTTGATAGGGAGGTTGCAGGAGGAGGTGGATGGCAATGTAGCTGGTGCTAGAACTCAGGCAGCCTGGGAGCAGCCAGACAAGGGATCCCATTGTATGGAGCCCCACCCCAACTGTGACCTTGGCAAGTCAGGAGGTCACTCTGCCTCATGCCATGGAGAAAGGAGCCCTGCTTTGGGTAAGGCCAGGCTGCTGCAGCACAGGCAGCACTTTGTAAACTGTGAAGCCACATATGTGAACCTTGAGTGCATTGGGCAGCAGAACCCATTTTTGCCTTCTCTTTGTAACCATAAAATCACCTCTAGTGGCTGAGAACTTAGTACATTTTTGTTGAATGTTGGGCCTGAGGTGAACTGTGACCATGGCCCAGCTCAAGTGGCTTCTACAGCAGCCACATCTCCAAGAGTCAGCCAGTTCACGGCACAGGCCTTGCCCGTTCCTGGGGAGACAATCCCCTGGCTCACTGTTTCCACTGGGAGTGCCCCTCAGATCCGTTGGACCAGCCTGCCACCAGGTCCTGGCTAACGCTGAGGGCTGACTCAAAATTGTCTGTCTCCAGAAAGCCTTCAAGCTTGTTGTGCTCCCAAATCTGATTCCTCTTACTGTCTCCCATTTCTACCTTCAAAGTTTTTATTAAATGGTTTTTTAAGATCCTAAAAACATGCTAAGTCTCCCAGTTTCCCCTATGCACATAAAACCATCTAAACCACATTTTTCTTTGTGAGCGGAGCAGTGCCAGGGACTGCATCAGCAGCAGTGAAGAAAGCAGCTCCCTGACCTACTTCTCCATCTCTGACCACATCCCACCACCGCTGATTTTTCATGACCCCAAGTCCAGCTCCCGCAGCTCTGATGGTTCCCAGGGCCCTTCTCGGGTGCTTGCCAAGCCCCTCATCCAATTTGCCCCCACCGCCCCTGCCCCACCTGTGTCCTGTGCGTCCCCCATGCTGTCCCAGGGCCTGGGCCACTGGTGCAGAGACCAGCCACATGAGTGTCAAACGCTTGCAGTGGGAGCAGGTGGAGAACTCAGAAGGCACCATCTGGGGTCAGCTTGGGGAAGACTCTGACTGCAATAAGCTGAGTGACATGGTGAAATACCTCTATCTGGAGCTCCACTTCAGCACCCAGAAACCTGCTATTTCCTTTCCAGAGCCAGTGCCGGGGCCCGAACCCTCCCAGAAGAAGGAGGTGGTGGAGATCCTGTCTTACAAGAAGGCCTACAACACCTGTGAGGGTCCTGGGACCACCCCCCAAGGTGGTGAAGAGGGCGGGCAGTGTCCGTTTCTCTGGGTCTCAGATCTGCATGGATGTATGACAGACATTAGGTGGTGGAGACCTGGACTCTCTTGACTAGCGTGGTGAAGGCCCCCCTCCCAAGCTCGGTAGCCAGCCAAATCCCACCTTGGCATAGGTTCTGGCCCCGCCCTCACTGTGTAATCAACTACCCAGTTCTTGCCCCTCCTCCAGCCTCCCTGCTTCCCTTCACAGGCCTCGCCCTAGTCCCTGGCCAGAACCCCATAGACTCCACCCACCTTCTTGGTCTAAGGCCTCAAGAACCTTGCCCTCACCAAAGACCATCTCTATTCTGAGCCTGCCCCTGCCCTGGCCCCCTAGGGCACCCCTCGCATGCCCAGTCCCCATTCCATGTCCCCTATCTTCAGTCTCTGCCCTGTAGCCCAAGCCCATCTGGAAGATCCACCCTGACCCCCCCCCAGCTCAATGAGCAGCCCTGCCTCCTTTCCTTGCTCCTCTCCCCCAGGTTCCTCCCAGTAGCCCAGGCCCATCCTGAAGCCCAGCCCTCTTCCTACAGGACCCCGCCCTCTTTCCACCTGGGCCCTGCCCCACAGACCCCACCCTGTTTGTTATCCACAACCCATCTAGAGTTCCTGCAGTAGCCCAGGCCACACCCCAGCTCTGCCTCAGGATTGTACCTGCTTTCCTTGTCCTCTACCCCTTCAGACTCCCCACTGTAGCCTGGGCCAAATCTGGAAATCCCGCCCTCTTCCTCCCGGGCACCACCCTCTCCAGACCCCTGCTCAGCAAGCAGCCCCAGCCACTTTACCCCAGGCTCCTCCCCTTAGCCCAGGCCAATTCTGAAGCCCGGTCCTCAAAAAATAAAAAGAAAAAAAAACATAAAACCAAACAAAAACAAATGAACCGGACCTTAAAAGAAACCCTGACAAAGTTTATCCAGAGACCAGTGAAAACTGGGTCAACCTGCTTCCTTTTCTTCTCCTCTGTGTCCAATGCACACCCTATCAAAAAGATTTCTCCCCTTTTGAAATTATGTTCTGTATGCCCCCTCCCTTACTCCCCAGACCCACGGATACCGTGTATGCTGAAGTCCATAACTATACACTCCTTAAGTCCTTACAGGCACTTCAGTCTGTTCAATCTGGAGTACACCAGCTCATTAAGGACACCCGTCCCACCCTATTGGACCTCGCAGAGCAGCCAACACACCTCTTCCAGCCTGGAGGCTCTGTCCTTGTTAAAAGATTCACCGCCTTCGGCCTCACCCTGCCCCCATTGGAAAGGACCCTACATGGTTATCCTGACTACACCCACCACACTCAAAGTGGATGGACTAATAGCCTGGATTTATCACACCCACGTCAAGACTGCCCAACCGGAAGGACAATGGAGCATCAAACACTCATCCCCTGATTCATTTAAGCTAAGACTTGTGCACTCTTTGAAGTCACCACCCTCACCACCCTAATCAGTGCTGTAAATCCCTATAGCAAACCCCCTCTAGAACCCACTGAGGTTCAATGGGTCTTCACTGAGGGTGCCACTGGAGAATATGTTAGTTCCATAACTGGGAAGGGATCCACTCTAGTCAACTTAACCCTGGAGTATATTCCAAAGAACCCCATTACATTCTCCCTAGACCTCTAAGCCCTTCTGGGCCCCAACCTAAATTTCAGAACAAATGGAGGTTTAGCTGGGTGTGGCAGTTCAGGGGCAGAGCAACAACTATCTGTGCCCAGAATCCAGCCTCTCCCCCCGAAAAATGAAGGAATTCTGGAGACTGAAATGAATTATTTTGCCCTGACTGGGGTTGTGAAACTATCTCCACTATACCAGGGTACTGCAAAAACATAGATAATGATATTAAGGTCTCGATATGAGCCCTTAGAACCAACAAACAATACTAGGCTGTTGGAGGAATCAATAATTTAATTCCTGTAAATAAAACAAGGGGGGAATGTGACATGGTAAAAGCCCCATAAAACTGCATACCTCAAACATACCTAAGCTTTCTGTTGAAACTGCTGTCTATAACCCAAATGTGAATAAGTAATTAAGAACTGTAATTTCCACCCTACTCAGACAATGCTAATCTTGACTTCTGTGAACCACTTAAGTAACAATCAGAATGTCAAAAGTCCCCTGGCCCTCAGAGTGTCCGGAGCCTCCACTCTCATCTTGGCCCAGGAATACACTGGAATGTCCAGAGCCCCTCACCCTCATCTCCACCCAGGAGGTGATTTACAGAATCCACTAGCCCTCAGAATGTCTGAGCCCCTCGCCCCCACCTCTGCCCCTCACCCCCACCCCTGCCCCTCACCCTCACTCCCGAGGTCATGTTACAGGTATAAAATGTCTTGACACCCTCATTTCAGGGCCACGGATTGGAGAGACGCCAGTCCTCTGTGGCCACTGGCAATAAAGACCCTGAAATTTGGCATTAAGAAAAGTAGTCAGCCTACACTAAGGTATGAGCTGAAGCTTTAGGTTCTCCTTGCTTCCCTCAAGACTTCCTGTAACAGAAGCAGCAGGCAATTGCTGCAGTGCATTTCTTGCCCTGCCAGAAGGTCTGTATCTCTTGTAAGAAAAAAATAGCCTTATCCCTTCTGGCAGCATTTGGAAGCTTGATGCTAATTCTTACATAGCATGGCAAGCTGGCCACCAGTGTCAGGCCTTGATC